AGAAGTTCTCTCTTGACCCACATGCTCTTAATAAAAGGTTTTATTTCATTCCTCCGCACACACGGGCTTCTGTTGCAGTCTCCCTTGAGTGAGCTTTGCTTACCTCCTGGAGTCTGGAAAACATTCCCCTGCTCTTTGCACGCTAATCTGCTCTGGAGGACCAGAGGTCCTCATCAAATGCTCTGCCCTCTAATTCTTCCCTGAATGCCAGCTTTCAAAACAAGCCAAAAAGGGAAATGAATGCTTATTCCATCAGAGGTTCTGGCATGTTATATTAAACAAGCAGGGCATGTGCAGAATATATATGTTTTGGGAAGAAAGAGGTGTTAGTATCACGTTAATCTTGCTTTCTACTCGAGATCTGTGTATAAACAGGCACGAGACTGGAAAAGGGCAGCAGTTAACCATTTCGTGCACAAGCATGACAAACTGCATCTTTTTCACTCGCTTAGGCACTATCATTGTAAGAGGGAATCTTATGAACTTCATACTGCCTTTCAGACGAGGATTTCAAAGCACTCGGCAAATATAGATTTGCCGTCACCATTTCATATCAATTCACTCTCAACTAGAAAGCAGCCTTTTTTTAACAAGGAATGGAATTACTAGTCTGATAATAACATCTTCACCATGGAATAGGTGCCTTTTTCTCAAGTGGTGTATCTGCTATTTGATTCCAAGTGCTTAAGCTACATGCAGGGAGAGAACCAAAGTGACCCGAGAGCTAGTCCAGAGCGTTGTCTGTAACAACGGGTGAAGACATTTTGAATCTTTTCTTCCATTCTTTAAGTGATAGCAACACGTCTCAGTGTTTTCATGCTCATTTATTTAAATCCAAAACAACAAAGGAAAAGGCCACACTGGATCCGATGACACTTGGCAATAATTCACAAATGGAAATTTCCTTTTGGTCCTATTCAGTGATGGATTTGTATTCCATATTGTGAGGCTGTATAAAGTGAACAGTTTTCACTACACAGAGCAACAGTACTATTTATGTAACTATATAATCCATAGTCCTCAAGTGACAACATGTGCTTCGGTATTACCTTGCTGCTGTAAGATAGCTAGCCCTGTGTTTTGGAAAAAATTGAAAGCACAACTTAGCGAGCCTTTTATGAAAAGCCACGGTGGTCTACTAAAGCTGAGAGTGAGCTGAAGAAGGGGCACTGCTTGTCTCCCTCTGACCGTGCTAGTGCCAATCCTGCGCATCACAGGCATGATTTCAGAAAAGACCAACAGCTTTACCAGCAAGCACAGGCACCAACCTCACGCCTACGGACTTTCTGTACTTATTTATTCAGGAGGAGAATACAGGGAGAATGCAGATCTGAACACTGTCACTTTAGATCCTCAACAGAAAGGACACAGGTGACATGCTCTGTGCCTGACAACTGCACGTCACAACTCATGTAATAAGCCTTCAACATAACCATGCAACACAGCTAACTCTCTTCATAGGCTGTCCCCCTCTTCCTGATTACCAGCAGCATTTTACACATAATACAAGGCAGCATTTGGCCTGCCGGGGACTTTTAGCATCTGTTTGGTACCACACACATGATCTCGCAGTCATTCCAGAGTGGGCCCAGCAAAACACCTCCCCTCATACTTTGCTTTAAACATAGTTGTGATCTAGTGAAAGGAACTACTTGTGCTGAAGTTTGAGCCAGCAGTGGAGTGCTTTGCTTTCTTAGTCCCCACACAGAACGCCCACCAAAGTCATTAGGTGGGATGAGCAGAGGGCTAATTGCAGTGTTTCAGTTTATAGCGATCCCCTGTGAGATGCAGTACGTGCCTTTAAAAGTGTTGTTCCTTGCACTGAAGCATTTACCACAGTACTCATACTTCAAATGGGAAATAATGCAACTACGGAGGCAATAATGCAACTAGTGTGGGTGGTCACCAGCCAATTCTTCTTACACCTACCGCATCTTTTGTTCCAGAAGATCATATTAATGCTATTACGGGAATTACAAAATTGTTATAATGGGACCTGCTAGGCAATATCATGTATTTGGAAACTTAAAATAGTAATGACCGCCCTAAATTTTCACTACAGCTGCTTTTCTTCCTCAATTCAGCCTGCTGCCTCTCTGCAGGCTCCCTAGTTTAATGACTACTCATCCTTTCATGTTAACAGAAAAATACTAACTACTGGATAAGGGAGTGTATGTGTGTACTAGCAAGATCATTAGTCTGAATAAATGTGACAGCAGAGTTGCACGAGAAATGCCACAGTTAGTGGTAAGCACAAACTACAGCTTTGGGTGTAAAATACTGTAATTACAAGGGATGGAGAAAGCTCCACAGTTTTTATCCCCACGGAAATCGATAGTGGTGCAGACTGCTCTTTGCTGGAGCAGGGGCAGTCTGATGAAAGAGTTTATTGATTTATCCAGCTGATGCTACTGTAGTGAATAATAGACTGGAAGAGAAAGGGCTTGTAAATTAGACTCATTCAATCCAACATTTTCCAGGATCTCTTTATATACAGCTATATAGAGATATATATTTACAAGTGGGTTTTTGTCAAAGCAACAGCCTAGTGACTCCTGGTAAGGCGGTCTGTCTACAGTCTGTCAACTACGCTCATGGTGCTAAAGTCAACCTTCAAGCTCTCACTAAAGACTGTCACCAAGGAGGAAGCACCAGGGCACCTAGGAGCAGGATTTGGCTATGGTGTAGGTAAGCAGCTGGCCAACACATCTCCTGGAGGGCTACGGCCACAGAGGAAAGGTGGCCATGGCGAACCCCATGCCACCCATGCCACAACAGACTCACTGGCATGAAGGCGTTGGAAGAGTCTGCTGTGGATCCACAGGTCCCCAGGCTAGGAGAGATGTCAGTGCCAAGGCAGTCCCCACCAGCCTCAAATAATGTGGAAAGCAGCATGGTGTTTTAGGAATGAAAGGATCCTGTGTTTCTCCTTAGCTCAGCAGGCAGATTTGCTATGAATCTAGATTCACATCGGCAAAAAGGTAAGTGTTCAGATTGGTTTTGCATAAACTGAGAAGGAGAAAGAAAGAAAAAGAGAGAGAGAGAGAGAGAGAGAGAGAGCAGTCATTTTTCTGCCACCAAGTATGGCTAATCAATCTTCTCAGCAGTGATGGATCAGGGAGCAGGACTGTAAGTTTTACAGGTATATGAAACCCCGCGAGTATAAAGACACCATTAAAACACTGCCATTAAATTCCAACACTGAAGGATGATCACAGCCCCTGGAGCCAAGCAGGTCAATATGTGACTGTATATTTTTCATTACCATTTTTTATATACATATATATGAAGCAGAATAGGATTCACAACAGCCTCACCCTCTCTCCCGCTGAAGACCTCTGCTTTATACTCAGCATCCACTTTCACAAATAAAATGCAATATACCATCAACAGATAAATGAGATCCCTACAGGGCTTTTATTCTGCCGTACCGTTATATCTACTTTTCCACAAGATTTCTGCTTAAATGGCTCTCTTTATGCACATACACAAAGATGACATACACCTGTCTAAATATAATCTGATAGTGAAGAGCTCTTCTGTATGGGGAAATGTATCTTCTCTTCCTAATTTACCATAATGACTTATTCACACTGCTGGAGCTAGGGGTACGTTAGCTTCCCCACTGTAAAAGTCACCAAGGTGTTATAGAGTAAGGTGTGGCTGGATTTTTTTTTTTTCCCCTATCTTTAGAAAAGAAAAAGTGAGGAGCTCTGAATCTCACCCTTCTGTCTTCCCCATAAAAACAAACGTTTTGAGGGATTACAGCTTTATAGGCTGCTGACATTGACTAATAATTTTTAAAGTGATGAAAGTGCGCAAGCCACACTGGAGAAGACTTTTTTGTAAATCTGGGAAACCTCAGAGCAAATGGCCATGCTGTGCCATAGGGTAGCTCAGAGATCACTGCCAGCACAGTAGCCACCTATATGGCACTTATTCAAGAAGCAGACCTATTTATTACCTAGTAGTGTCACCTTTCTGTCATTGTGACTATTTCAGTCAAAAGTAACCTGCCTCAGAGAATAAAAATTCCTGACTCCTTTTTCATGAGAGAACTCAAAGCATTTTATGATCTGGACACATAGATACCACATAGTTACAGCCACAACTCTTTGGGCAACGGAGAGCTGAGGCTCAACAGAGAAGTACTGCAGAGAGACAGGATGAAGGGACAGGAGAGAGGTGTATGTGAGGATTTTGGCTCAGGTTATTGTGCTAACAAAATGTGAAAGGAAGTTTCAATGCACCAGCAGAACAGAGATGACCTCTTTTTTGAGAAGAGATGGGGTGCAGAGAACACTAATTGGTTGTCAGCATATGTCAGAATCATACTAAAAGCCTACTTTTTTCTACTTCTCTCTCTTATTAGTCACAAAAGCAGGACCATGGCGTGAATAGGCGCAGGCAGAATAGACTTCGGTGCTAGAGCTGATCTTCATGAGGCTGCAGCATGCCAATAACTATATATGAAGTTTGCAAAGGCACTGCATAGATACAGGGTACCTCCTTCTACTACCCCAAATTCAAAAAGGGGCATAACTATTCTATGTAGAAACACATGCACCCACCATTCCTGACAGTAAGAAGCCACAAGCTCATCTGCTTTGCCAAGTTTACTCTTCTGAAAATGCTGGCTTTGCTCTAAACCCTCTACTTTTCATTTGCACTGCCGTAAGAGTCACTGCCAAGCTTCCCTGGACAGATGCTGAGCTGGTATTAGAGAGAAGGGCTGTTTGGTGGGGAGGGCAGAGCGGAGAGGGCTCTGTTCTGCGACTTTCTAATTCTTCACTGCTCAACTTCATAAACCTCAGAGAGCATTACATTCATCTTCAGGGAAGAAGAGCGGGGTCTCCATACTGGTGAGAACTGGGTTAACTCATTTCTCCATCCTACAAATGATTCTGTGACTTTAGGTCATTGACGCTGATCTGCAGCTATGCAGGTTTTTCTGCAGCCACATACATCTCAGACCGCGGAGGCGTCACAGCGGCACTTACCCTGCATGCAGAGCCCGTCGGTGCAGTTCTTGGACTGCAGCACCAGCCCCTCGCAGTCCTTACCCCCGTTCTTCGGCGCCGGGGCCGTGCACTCCCTCCGGCGCCAGTGGGTGCACTCCGTGCCGCAGGTGGACCACTTGCTCCAGGACGTCCACTTGCCGTCCACTGAGACAAGGAAAGGACATGACTTGTTAGGGGGTACATGGAAGTGAGACCGAGCGAGAGTGACACATGTCTCGGCACAAGCCAGCCTGCAACTCCTGGCCATTCCCAGCAAGGCAGAAGGATGGTCAGTCTGCTCTTCTTAAAGTCCTATTTCTGGTCTGTAAATGCACATTTACTCTCCCTCTCCCTTCTTTCTGCCCCTGCCCCATTTCTGCTCTTTCCTCCCCTTTTTATAAACTTGTCAGCAGTTTATCTGTGCTCAAAGCGTACAAGAAAATGAACAAGTTGGCAATCTGTGATTTTTTTTTTTCATTTTTTAACACAGAGGTTAAAGTTAAACTTGGCCAGAAATTCTTCTTTAGTAGGAAGATATTTAATGTTAAATGTTTTCTATTAAAAGAAATATCTAAAGGCACTGATCTATTTCACATGAGCAGAATCAGGGATTTTTTTAGCGCCTTTCAAAATCCTGCAAATTATTTTCCAAAGCACTAAATTGAACAGCTGAAGAAAAAACTACGAAATGGTTCCAGAGACACAGACTGAGCCAGGAGTCTGTCACTTGAAATAGTGACCTGAGATGAAATTTCAGCTTTTAAGTTTCACCTACCACTAAGACCTGGAGTTGGATGGCCAAGCTTCATAAGCTGAAGACAACCCTGCTGCCATCGATTTGAGTGGCACTGCAGAGGTAGGAAATCACTGGACAATAGGACAGATGGCAGGACTTTTGTCACAGAAAAGCCACCAACTACCTTGTGTGTCCTGAAGCAATTTTGTATTTTTCAGAAGTTTACATTTAAATACCTTTTAAAGGTATGCATACACATCTTTTTCCAGTATAAAATGTCTTTGTATTTGAAGTCAGGTAAACACGTGCCTCAAATTTAACATCTACACCCCAGATGCTCCACTTGCTGTGACAGCTGGACTGAACAGACATTGCAAATATATTTACATCACAGTTGCTTTCTATATTCAAATTCCAGTCCTTTTCCAGAGCTTTCAACCTTTATCTCCTACAATTTGAAGCTCTGAATGTCCCCCAAATCCCCTGAACTACAAAGGCTGAGACACCGGTGCAAGCTGCATGCAAAAGTGGTTCTGAATCCTCTGCTGCTTGATATAATGTGCTCACTATTTTATCTGCTTACGTAATATAATTTCATACTCATTCACTGAAATGTTGGATTTATTAATAAAGAGAAGGAGGCTTTTGTAACTAATAGTCTTCTCCTGAAATGACTAGTGACAGACAAACTATTTATCTAGGGCTATGTACTGTTCATACTGAACCTGGACACAGAGTGGTGCAAGCTATTTTCTGAACACTCTGGCCCTCGCAGAAGGCACCACCATTGAGTGGGGCAGGATTGGTGCAGGTCCTCGTACGCTTCTGAAAGCCTCTCCCGCATCGGCTGTTACACACTGACCACTCAGTCCAGGTAGACCAGCCTCCGTTCACTGAAAAGCAAGAGAGAAAGAATATGATTGCGTAAGCAAGCCATCCTGTTCACCCCAAAGGTGCCTCTGGCTCTGTGTCATGCTGCCTCCAACAGCCGTCACAAGTGATGGCTGGGAAGAGCAGAAGAAGCAACACTGAACAGACACAAACCCACATCTCCAATGTACCGAATGCACAGCATGCCAAAAGTCATTGTACAAGTCGAAGAAATGCTGACGCTGAACGAAAAACACCATTTGATGACTATTACGGCTGGCAGGTGACCTGCCTTCTCCTGAAAACTGACCTGACCCAGCACTAAGCAACTGGTGCCGTGTGTATGGCCAAAATCTCTGCGGGTTCAGAGAGCACCCACAGCTCTGCCAGCCAGAAGTCTGCACTCTGAAAGATGCACCATTTTCTAGAGGGTGATAACCTGCACTCCAGCTCATTCTCAGATGTACCCATCATCTATGCATGCTGAGAGACCCCCGTGCTTTGATTAGAAATTGATAATTTTCTTTCCCTTTCTTTCCAGAAGGTCATTTCAGGATGTCAGGACAACTTCACTCACCCCTCTGTGGACATAGCTGGTGCACACGAATGTCCCAGCACTTCCATAACAGATATTTAAGCTGTTGAGAGTGAACTCACACTAAATGCATTTTTATTATTGGACTTCGGGAAGATATTTATCTCTGGAAAGATATTTAAGCTGACTTTCTTCTTCACTCACCTGTGTTTCTGGGATAGATGGATGGATGTAGAAGGAGCTGTGCTGCTCTATGTAATAATGTCATTGCCAGGATATGGACAACATACTAACTGCTCAGATTCTCTAAACCCAAATGCTTGTGATATGACACAACCCTTAAGCAGCTCTGGTAGCAAACCCCATAAAAATGGCTACTCCCCTACATATGTCTCTTGACTGCACTGCTGAACAAAATGCTGTACATGTGTGAGGAAGTGTTGCAGTATGCCTACATCTTCATGTTTCTGCATTCATCACAGTTAAAAAACACAGTGCTCTTGCATGGTCCATCCCTCAACATCACAAGCACTGCTAATCAACTCAATTCAGTCGGTTTTCTCTAAAAACTGAACTAAAAGGCCCTCATTGTAACTTCAGGGAAGCAACTGCTTACAATTAAATCTAACTGCTACGCTGAATATGAAATGAATATTAGGGATAATCATAGGGATTTTTTCCTACTTGTCTATCCTATAATTAAGCTGATTGTAAGGAACACCAGGACAGTCAGCTGGCACGTCATCAGAGCAGGTTTTGTTCTGGTGGATGCCCCCGCCTGGGACGCATCGGGGCAGTAACTTTGCAGGGGCAAAGGCTCGGGCTGGTGGGGCAGAGCTGCAGCACAACACAGCCTGGAGGAGACCCCAGGAGGGCATCTCATCCGGCCCTTCCCCAGCCAAAGCACGCCATCCTCAATATTAGATTGGATTGGACTGGATGCAGACACAGAATAATGTTATCCCATGCTTCAAATTCCCCCGATGTTTATTTTTAAGCTAGGTTGTGTGTGTATGAACTGCAGTCCTGGACTGCTTTGCTACTTTGCCCCAGACATCAGAGTGTGTGTTGGTAGTAGACACCAAAAATAAGTTTATTTAAAGAGATATAAGAAGATGGAAGATTCTGCTGTGCTCTGACACTTTTACCAGTATCCGGAAGCACAAACTTCCTTTCAGTTTTACTCTTATTTCTGAAAAGTGACACTAAGAACGTGAAATGCATTGGTAGAAAGCAATGCCACGGAGGCTCCTGCTGGAGGAAGTGCCCTAATGGCTCCTTGCTGCATCCAGCCGGCACGTGTTTTGGCAATGGGAGCAACTGCCTTCTCTTCAATGAGGCAACTGGCTGTTTGTGTAGGCGCCTGTTCCTCCTTTAACGCCAAGCCATCAGATCTGTACTTCTGAGTATTTTCGGTAATGAACCCTGACTGCAATCGCAGCGTATGGCTACAAGTCAACAAGGCAGCACAGGCGGCCCAGCCTGGTCATTCACCACCGTGAGAGTTGCATACAGACATTTTGCATCCCCCTCCTGTCACACCGCTCGCTTTAAGCGCGTGTCCATCCACGTGCAGCGGGACAAGGCATCACTTACCATAGACAATCACAGTCGCTGTGGTGCTTTTCCTTTTGGCCACAATGTTTTTGGCGACACAAGTGTAATTGGCCGTGTCAGAAAGCCGGGCTTGCTTAATGATCAGGTTGTGATCGATGGTGATGTAAAAATTTCGGTCTTCCACAGGATCAATCACCTCTTCGTTCTTCAGCCACTCCACCTTAGGGTTTCAAAGGGCCAGAGGGGAGGCAGTGGGTCAGCACCAGGTCACACCACAACGGGCACAGTGTCTGTGATTACATTGCTCATCCCAGAAAGCGCAATGAGTTAAGGCACATCACGAAGGACTCACCTGAAGCACGCTGCCAACTGAAATAAAACACCACGGCAGAAACGCGGGAGAACACCCTTCACGCCTACCCTTTCCTTCAGGTCCCCTTCCCTCCCACCTGTCCACACAAGAGCTGTCTTGCCTTGCCTTGAAAATATCAATGCATTTTCAAAGGCTTCCAGCTACTGTACAGAGACAAATAGCTGATCTATGTTTTCAGAGTCTGAGGCAAGGGATAAGGAAGGGGTGATACCTTAGGACCATACCTACTAACAGAAAATTCCCTTACAACATCAGAAACTAAACCAGCAGAGATTTCACCCATTCCTTTGTACATCTTGTCTAATTAGGCAGTTAATAATGCAGTAACCTTGTATGTACCTGCCCTGGGTCTAACACAATGAGGTCCTATACCAGAGTAGGTCACACTAACAAATTACAAACACGCCATTGTTTTTAAGTATACACACACTCACACGTACATGCATGTTATTGTTTTGCTGCAATCAGGATTAAACAAAATAGAGACAGTTACCAAGGAAATAGGGAATCACAAAGACTACATCAGTGCTTATTTTTCCCTTTTCTTTATGTAAGCTATATTTTATTTTAATAAAGCGTAATTTCCTTGGTTACGCAGAAAAATATTTTCATATGTGATTTTTAATCTAGACAATGTTCTCTTTATTGCCTTCCTAAGAAACACCCTATTATATCCCAGCTGACTGCTGTGAGCCACCCTAATATAATTTGGCTGCAAATCTAGTAGCTTGTTTTCATTTGAACTGAGCGTGCTCTGAAGGATGGGACTGGGGCCCTGGGTGGATCAAAGCCGGGCCTTCATGTCACTGGATCACTTCAGCTTGTGCCCAGGATTTAATTAAAGGAAGAAAAACATAAACACAATCAACCCACTGGACCCATGAGGTGCTAACTGCCAAGACCTGCTCTCACAAACCCTGCTTTTCCAAAGACATTTGAGGAACCGTCTGAGCATTGACATACCCCAAAACCAACAGAGAACCTGCTCCCCCCACCCCGAGACAGCCTTACAGACCTCCCCGAGCTGTGGGGAGAAAAACGATGGCCTTTCCCGGTGTTAAACACAGAGGGCTCGATTCATCCCCGGATGGAGCCGGTCCAACGCTGCAAGACCAGCGCTGGTGGACGTGGGCTTGGATTCAAGCTGCCCACCGCCCACTCCCCATATTTAACCCTACTTTAAGCACCTCCAGCTCCCCTACCCCAGTTTGGGTGGATGTGCATCAGGTGTGAGTGCTTCCAAAGACGTACACCTTAGTGAATGTAAAGCCACTGCCCCGAGGAAGGCTTGATTTAAACCCTCCTCTCCCACAGCACATTGCTGCAGTGTGTGGTAGCCTCACCACTATCGATACTGGATAGCTTAAAATCGGTGGTGCAAAAAGGGCTGTGGAAATGTATACGTGTGTCTGCGAGGAACAGGGAAGGAAGAAAAAAGACATAAAACCTTGGAGGCCATGTTTCTGTCACTACAACATTCATGTTTTACCATGAAAGACACAAGCTCTTAGTCAATAACCTGGTTTTCCTTGCCAGGATGACTAAAATTGTTCTTCCTCCATTCTTGAATCCTAGTAGATATCAGGTATAATCGAGACAGACAGAGTCCTGTTCAGTCAATGGCAATATTTAGCTCCTTCCCCACCCGCAGTTCAAGTCTGCATGCATCCCAGACTGAAAAACAAGCCAGGAGCTTACCTCTCCACCAGTGGTAGTCTCCCACTTAACCCCTGCCTCGCACACAAACAAAATGTCTTTCTTGGTTTTTAATACCATTATTTATTTCTGGGATGGAGTACAGACTTGTGTCAGGATTCTAAAAGATGCTACACGTGCTGCCACAGCTGTGTACGTACCACCCTCAGGTCCATCTGTACTTTTCCTGTGCTCTACACATTGAGGACATGAGGACGTCAGTGAGGACAGGACTACAGTCTACATGGTCTAAGGCTCAGTCCAAAATGTTTCTGGTATGCCCATCCAAGCCCATACCCTAGCAGCCCTCGGCACTACGCAAGGCTCCATGCTCAAGCACGCTGTTTTCTTTTTCCTGTACTCTCCAACACTTTCTCTCTCCAGAAAAACACACACATGCATATTCAGTTTAGGTCTCAGCTGATTAGACAAAATTAAAGCTATGAGCATTAAATTCCCTGTCATCCCTGCAAAAACACTGAAGATAATAGGAAAACAGGAGCTGCCAATATCAGAAAAAAAAGATACTTTGTATAATTCAGTATACTGCCTCTGGCTCTTCACCAAATCTCTTAGGAAAAAGATCCTTTTCACCTAATGGCTCACAGAATTTGCCAACAATAAAACGTTAAGTTTGCAGAACAACATTGTTTTCTGAAAAATCTGTTTTGCCAGTGCATCGGTACTGTGTGTGCATGTCTAAACCCCATCTCTTTTACAAGATACCTCTTTAATATACCTAATTCAGTCTTCTCTGGCATCCAGGTTTTTATGATGTCATGAGTCTGTTCATGTTGCAAACTATAATGTCGTCAAATCTGAAGGGAGGAACTGACGGATGACTTGACAAGAGGCAGGAGTCTCCTTTCATACACATTTTAGCCATCAGCAGAGCAACACAAAAAAGAGCACACCCCTCCAGCGGTTGTGTTTTCTCCCTCAGTCCTTGTAGAAATGGAAACTAATTAAACACACTACAACATGTAAATGAGACTTTTGTTGGCACTTATTTTCAGTTACTAACAGCCTCATTTTTTCTGGTGCAGGTGACGGCAGTGCTCAGCACCTCCAAACCTCAGATTTATTTTTTTGAGGTAATCAGAATAGGTGGGAGCAGGCTTGTTCTGCCACATAAGTAAGACGAGATCAGGTGTCAAATACAAAAAGAAGAGAACAAAGTGGAACAAGACAGTGTGATTTATGAATGACAAGTATGCAAACTGTTATTACAGAAGTTAAAAGCAACGATCTCTTTTGATGCCATGTCATTCCCCAAGGCACGGCCTCCTCGCTGAAGTAGGCTGTTAATCCAGTCAATGCAGAAACTTATCCTGAATTTAATTCCGCTGCCTGAATAACGGTGACTGGTGCCCTGGGGAAACCACCATGCTTGCAACATGCTGGCAGATGAGGCACCAGACATTTATCTGCCAGAGACCTGCACCCCTCCAGGCGAGCGGACAGAGGGGCAGCAGGATACCTACGGGCATTTCAAAGTGCACAAGATGCCTGTCTTCACAGTCATACCAAATCACGCCCCCATGGCTCCATTTTTCAACTCTCTGAAGAAGATGTTTCTAGAGTAGATGTTTGCTTTTGCCTAAATATTGAGGATGTATATTTACTAGCTATAGTCACAACGATTCTTAAACAGGTACCTAGCTCTATTTATTCAATTAAATCAGGCATGTCCCACCAACTGTTACTAATAAATGTACAGATGGCTGTGCAGATACATAGAAAAAGCCTGGGCATCAGTTTTTCCTTATCATAACAGAAATCATTTAACTGGCAACAATACTGCCATGAAGGATGGGGTGAGTGTTCCCTTGTGGAGATGACAGCTATGGAAAACTACAACAACATGCAACTGTTTTTTCTGCCCCCTGGAACAATACGGGCACAAAATCCCCATTTTTTTTTTTAGTTTTCCACTCAAGAAGGTATTTTTCTTGTATGTTTGCAAACTGACTAGCAAGAGAAGGCCCCTCTGTAAAGGTGTGAGTGCAGTGAATGAAATCCTGACTCACAGCGACTGCGGATGCTGAGAAGGTGGAGCACACCCGAAGTCAGCTACTTTTTGGTCAGAGCTCCTTAGTGCTCTGGATGTAATTTGCAGAGCAGTGAGGCACACGGCTCCTGCCAGCTGTGCTGGATCCACACACCCAGTGCTGCCAACACGCTGGCAAGCCTGCCATGAGCCTGAGCCGTCCCCGCGACCGGCTAAGGAAGCGCACGATCCAAGGCAGCTGTAATTTAGAGCAACATACCTTGTGGCATCTTTTCTGTCATCCCGCTCCCCAGTGAGAGACAGATGTGTTGTCTCTAATTATTCGCTGATTGGTATCGGGAGATACATTAACATAATTGGCACATTTGTTCTAATTAACAGAGGGAACCTGCCACATGCCACACAACATGAAAAGCGAGACCATCAGCAAGAACAGAAAACCTGCAATCACTGCCCTGGCTGTACCTTGGAGCTGCAGCCAGACCTGTGCTGCTGCAGGATATTTCCAGCAGCAGCCTGAAATAAGGCAGCACATGCAGAGACTAAGATTTGCAGAGCCAGGCCAGGCTTCTGTGCAGACTAAATGAACACAGGGAACATAAATCACACAAGCGATTACATACACAGGAAAACCTATTACGGAAGCTAATTGCTGACACAAATTTAGCCATGCCAAGTTACTAGCATTACTAGACATTTAAATCTCTTGGCACACTTGCATATGCGTGACTGTTTTAGAATCTGGTAGAGCAACAGCACATCTGCTCCAAAAGAAACCCAAAAATGGAAAAGGGATATGAGCTTATCTTGATCCTCCCCTCCTGATAGTACGAGTCGTTCCTTACACCTCTCGCAATCTCAAGAGGAAAGTCAGCAGGGTGCGAGTCCTGGATCCTGGTCTCTCATTGCCTCCACCGCACCAACCTGCCCTCGAGTTGTCTTCAGAGCAGAGAGCACCTGCTGAAAACAGCAAGTCTTCTACCCTCTAGACACAGGCAAAGCCCTCCAGCGCCCGTAAGTGCAATTCTCCAGAAGAAACAAGATGCAAACGGCTGGGAGCAGCGGGAGATTTGCCTCGATAAAAAGGCGATTTAGGATTCTGGGAGGCGAGACCATTGCACCCCTGCCTTCTCCGTGCCTG